AAGTAAAGCTCTTTAAAAATATTATAAGGGAACATTCTCGTGTTAATATCGTCCGAATCCGACTCTAACGTATCGTGAATATCAATTGACATTTACAAAAATCGCTTTCTGAGGTTTGGTAACATAAATGTTGTTACTAAATTCTTGTCGGCTCTGAATTTTGAAGTCTTTCACGAAGCCCAAAAGGTAGAACCTTCCGAAGTCAGACCTAATTTAATCGATATTTAAAGCTTACAAAATAATAATTGATTGTTTTTTTTTTTTAATTTTGCAGCTTTATTTGCCATTGACAGGAAAACATTCAATAACGTTGCTACCCGAATGACCTTGGTTATTCCATGCCACGGATATACCTTAAACAAAATCGTTTTCAAATTTTGACCAAAAAGGCAATGGTTATATCAAATTTGTTACCAATCTGCGTCGATTCTCAAATCAACATTTTGTGGAAATCTGTCGACTCACGAACGTTAAAGGTATGTCTTTCCAAAGTCGGACGTTTACAAAAACTAATATATTTTTTATTGTGTATTTTTCAGCCTAATCTGCCAACGTCCATGGACAACATCTAATCAGCAAATAATGATGTCGCTTTTAGATCGGCGGAATCAGCCTACGCTCATCTACTGTAGTGTCTTGGCGGCTTTCTGATCGATTGCCTGTTCGGCATACGTCTGGACACGATTATCCATATGCTCATATTGCTGGTGGGTTAGCTAATCTTTGCCAGCGGCGCCATTATCGACACCTTCTGGCTAATGATACTCGGCCGAACAGCTACGCGGTGCTGTGGTTTAAGGGCAAGGAGCATTTAAGGCAACATAACTCCACCTGCGGATGAACATGGACAATATTTAATCAGCAAATGATCGCTATTCATGGTACCTAGTTGACCGATATATCCTTGGTTATTACATATCATGGATATAGTCCTAGCGAACCTAAAGGACCAAGTTCTTGCAAAATGCGCAAGAACATGGTTCAAAAATATGTATGCTTTTATTTAACAGCCGTCCCCAGCAACAGTCCCGCCCCCTCGATGGTTTCTAGTTGACTAACATATCCTTGGTTATACCATACCATCGATATAGTCCTTGCAAACCTAAAGGATCAGATCCCTGCAAAATGTGCATTGAAATGGTCCAAAAACATGTATGCTTTTTCTTTCAGGAGCCCTTTTACATTAGCTGCAGCTGCAGCTGTTGTTTAACAGCCGGCTTACAGCGCTCATTTTACATAAACTGCTACTTAACAGTACTCATTTTAATTGAGTTACATTTTTGCCCCGTAATGCTATGCAATGAAATTTTTATTAAAACCACTCGTCGACCTTCTGGGCATTTATGTTCGCCTGGTACTTGAGCGGAATTTTAGGCAAATTTGGGACCGGCGGTGAGAGTGCCCCTTTTTACTACGTCACTTTTCGGCCGCAAAAATATTATTTGTCGACCTCCTCGGCATTTCTGTTCGCCTGGTACTTTTGGGAAATTTTAGCTAAAATTTGGGACCCAGCCGGCGACGAGGGCGCCCCTTTTGGGTATGCAACGAAATTTTTTCGGCAGCTAAAAAATATTTTTTGTCGACCTTCTGGGCGTTTCTGTTAGCCTGGTATTTTTGCAGATTTTAAGAAAAATCTCGGCAGCCACCGGTTGGCAACAAACTGACGTCACGAATATGCAATAGGTATCTAAAGACCGTTGATTTTTGAATTTTTAAATAAAAAAACAGGAATTTCTTTGTTTTATTTTAAATAATTGATTTATTTATGTTTCAACTTACAAAATTGTTGTTTTTTAAGCTAATTTTCTTAATTATTTCTCTTAAAATTATACAAAACGAGCATAAATCATAATTTTTGCTTAAAATAGCTATATTCGGCTTAATTAAAGTCCGATCCTGGAAAAATTTGCTTTATCAGTCGTGGAGGTCCTTAGAGATCATTGTAGTCCTTAATTTGTTAGTCTGAAAAGATAAAAACACATTTAAATTAAACAAGTAAATAAATATATAAAAGCATTTTATGTATGGAAAAAAGGCTATAACTCGGGCATGTCCTTGCAGATTTTCAAAGGACATGGTGCGTTAGGATCGTATATACCTTCTGCATCGATATGCATCATAAAAATATGGGGTCATCTAAGAATCCCAGGACTTGTATTTTGACTTGTAAAATTTCAGTCGCGACGCGTACGGAAATGCCCCGAAAACACAAATCCTTAAATAGCTCCTAAACCACAGGGACGATCTTAATGAAATTTGGCCAGTTGGTAGTCCTGGTTAATACAATTTTTTTGACACATGACTCGCAAGGATACGCAAGGATACAGCCGAGTTATAGCCTATTTTCTTCAAACAAAATCGTCCTAAAAACATTTTTGTCTGAAGGACTTTCGTCCTTTGGGTTGTAAATTCTTCAATGAGGGGGCGAGGACTATATACTGGCCAAAGGACATCCCGATAGTCCTTCAAATGGCCGAGTTAGCCCGGATATTTTCGATTTTGGCCAATTTTGCGACTAACCCCCTGGGATAAATTTCGATGAAATTTGTTGTCGAATTCTGGAAATTTTTGAATGCCAATCGATAGTCCTGCTTCCCACGAGTTCAAAAAGGCATATCCTTCGGATATCCTTCAGGATTTGGCCGAGCTATGGCTAATTAAAAAATGTCCTTTTTAGAAAATTGGCCATATTAAGGAAACGGCAATGACGATTTTATTGTCCTTTGGACAGTTTATGGTCCTTGTTCATACGATTTGTTTGACACCGGACTTGTCAGGATCCGCAAGGATACGGCCGAGTTGTGGCTATGTTCATTTACGAAAGAATTTTACTCATGTCTAGGCTGTCTGAAGGACTTTCGTCCTTTTTATTATATATTCTGAATTGGTAAAATAAGGACTAACGGTTGGCAAATGGACATCATGGTCAGCAAAGATACGGCCGATCTACAGCCTTTTAACTCTACAGACATAAATATCCTTTGCTCAGCTGCTTGAAGGATTTTCGTCTTTTTTATTACATATTCTGAATTGGCAGGACAAGGACTACATGTTGTCCAAAGGACATCAGAAAGGTCCTTAAGGTGGCCAATTTAATGTCCTTTAAAAAGACAATAGCAATATCTCTGAAACCGTAAGGACGATTTTGATGTCCTTTGGGCAGATTATAGTCCTTGGCCATACGAGGTGTCTGACACAGGACTTATCAGGGTCAAAATTTCGATTTTTAATTGTTTAATGCCAATCGATAGTACTGATCCTTACGAGTGCAAAATGGTATATAATTCAAAAATCGAACATTATTTGGCCGAGATATTCCCAAAAATCATCAAAAAAGGTTGACTTTCCAAACGAATCGGTTTTTGGTCGACCCCTTTTTTTATCCCATCGATTTTTAAAATGTTTGAATGCCAATTTACAGTAGGGATCCCTACGAATTCAAAAAGGCATAACATTTCAAAATGTGACAGTATTTAACCGAGATATTCAATAAAAATCATCAAAAAAGTTTCGATTTTCGAACCGATCCCGAATTTGAGAAAAAACGTGATGTAACCCCTTGCCATTTTGTTGATTTTGGTCAAAATTTAGATTTTCATTATTTTGATGCCAATCGATAGTACTGATCCTTACGAGTCCAATATGGTAAAATATTCCCAAATCGGACATTATTTGACATTACAAACGAATTGGTTTATGTTAAAAGTTTTGATGTCGGCGACCCCTTGTTTATCTGTTAAATTTAATTAAAAGAAGCGAGCAAGAGCAAAGCGCACATTTTAGCCACATGGTCTCTGAAGGGTTAAAGCCCAAAACAAAACGTAAGCTAAGATTCACAAAGCTTTAAAGCAAGCTTAATATACGAACATGCCCCAAAGTAGGCCACATCTTATGCTGCAGTTGAAAAAGGTGCATAAGTAAAACCGTCAAAATCGAATGCGTAAAAAAGCACCACAAAATGCAAGTGGGTCAAGTAGAAATATACCTGTAATGCCCAATTAAATGACACCCTAATAAGTGCACCCACACAGCTTCGGCCAAGTCAAAAGATATGCTGCCCAGTCCGCTTAGGGCAATTAAAGATGTTTTCTTGGCATTGTTTGGCTCGTTGGCCAAGTGACTAAGTGGGCCAACGAAACGAATACGAATACGAATACGAATACGAATACGAATACAACAAGAACTGGCCACAACTGCTGCACTAATTAAAAAGTTGAGTGGCTGTCAGCGAGTTGTGGCTATGTCTTGATTTCAGCATTTGCGTGTATCTAATTGAATTAGACCCAAAGGTCAGGCCAAATGGGCTGGGAGTTGAGCTGCCCGAAAAAAAGAAAAATAAACCGGCTACTTTAGGCGACATATGTGGTAACAACTAGAGCTGGCAGCGTGTTACTTGTTTTCCAGCGTGACACGAGGTGCTAACAAATAGAAATTCATTTGTGCTAACATTAGTTCACAATACTTGACAAGATGCTAAAATATATTAGTATATACATATATATATATTAATATGATTGATTAATAAATTAATAAATATACAATTAAAGCTAAAAAATGTTATTAAGCTCGAACCGAAATCTGAGACCGTTTTATTTATGATTGGGTGAACTGCAATGAATGAAGGTTCAAAGCAAAGCCCATGAGCCTGTTTCCAAAATTCGAACCAGCTACTATTTTTGACACTATCTCTAAAATTTGTAATCGTGCGTTTTATTAAATATTAATTTTCGTGCAATATCGTTTTGCACGACACGAGCGCAGCTCTAGCATAAAGTAAAGCACAGAGCTGCGTAGAATTGCGTTGGTGGTAGCCAAAAATAGCAGCCAGGAAAAAGTCATTGTGCCGTGGAATATTAGAAGCGGGAAATACGACTACACATTTTGTCGGCATTATATGCTAATGCGATATTTTCGTCTGACTTCATTGTGGAACGTTCAGCTTCTGGTTAACTGGCAACTGGAGCGTGGTGCAACTGCGGCTCCTTGTATGGCACCGGGCCATGGTAATTGGGAGGCCGAGTCAAGAGGCGGGCAGCACAATTGGCAAGTCGAGTCGCGACGGGCCAAGCCAAGACTTATGGCTGGAATTGGGCCATAGCTTAGGCCAGGTGGGTGTGGGTGTGGGTGGGTCTGGCTGGAGACAGGAACCAGCACAACTTCAGGCAGCAGCAGCAGCAAGAAAAAGAGACTAAAGATCTTGGCCATGTTTTGACTGGCGAATTCGAGTCAAGAGCTGCCTTGACTAAACCACTTAGTCGCTCAGTTCCGCCCAAATGGGTCACTAATGAGGCGTCGAGCTTGGGAAAAAGACTTGATGGCTCGATTGTCTGTGCCAATTCTAACGTAAAGAAACCAGCGCAGCTTGGACTATAAAATTGTGGCGCTTCTTTAGTTGGAGGCACAGTACCAAAATTATCGCTCTTCAGTGTTCACCAAGAAAGAAGATGTTCAAAATTGTGAGAAGCTCAAAAACTATGAATATACGCCCGTTGTTTGGATAACTAACCAGTGTATTCTCTTGCAGCTATTCGTGTTGTGCGCGGCGTGCTTGGCCCTCAGCCAGGCTCGGCCCAGCTACTTGCCCAGCTACGAGACAATTGAGTATGCGCCCACTGTGCTGGGCTACGAGCACTTGGCTCTGCCCGCCGCCGTCTCCCATCAGAGCTCGACGGTGGTGCACGAGAAGCGTCCCTATTTGCGTCCCATCTACGAGCATCCGCTCAAGACGTACCATCATCCGACGACATACACCTATGCCAGCAGCCCGTCTCTGAGCTACGGCAGCGACTGGTACGAGCCCGGCTGGAATTCAGCTGCGTTCAGCTATCCCAGCATCTACCTCAAGTGAAGTCTCTGGCGATACGACGTTCCTCAATAAATAAGCTGGTTTGGCGGATTCAAATTCGATTGGTTTTTTGGATTTTATTTTCGTGGGACACAAGTCAACATCGTAGTGTTGGATATATCAAACTCTTTCGTTCTCTCGCTCTTACCAGGCGCTGGCTGCGTATGTCAGCGGTGCGTGGTGCAGCAGGGGTGCGGAGTAGGCCAGCGGTGCGGAGTAGGCCAGTGGCGACACGCTCCTCACATAGGGCACATGGGCGGCATATGTGGCCGGCAGGGCCGAGTAGGTGGCCACCGGAGCAACCGCCGAGTATGTGGCAACGGCGGGCGCGGCATGCACCGTGGTCTTCACAACGGGCGCAACCACATCCTCAACGTAGGGCGTGCTATGCACCTGGGTGACGCTCTGGTGTGAGACAGCGGTGGGCACACTCTTCACGACGGCGCCAATCTTGGCCAGAGCGTGCTCCTGCACATAGGTTGTGGGTGCGGCGCTATAGACCAGCGGTGCGGCAGCCAAATGGCCGGGACGAGCGGCGGCCACGGCGACCAGAGCGGCGAGAACGAACTGTTGGGAGTGGACAAAGGGTTAGGGAACCACTTGAATCACTGGAACCGCTGGAAGAGGCGCCAGCTGTTGCTCTTACCAATTTGAACATTTTGTAGAGCTGTTGTGTGGGATCTTTGACTTGTGTCGAAGGGTAGACTGTGCCAGTTGTTAAATTGTCGCTGGCTTTTATACTTGAACTTCACTTTCAAGGCGCACGCACACACTCACATACTCACAGTGAATACAATGAGTACTCACACTCGCACTCGCACTCGCATTCGTACGTGCCTGAACGGATTCTTGTCTCGCACAAACCAGATTATTATTCGCGGCCAATTTCTGTTACGCACCGCACCGCACCGCACCACTTTGTTGGCTATTTTCGTAGCTTAAACCACAAGCCACAAACCGCGACCCAACCCACTCTTATTTTCATTTACAAAGCGCGGCTCATTAGTCGCACGTCAACCCAGGCCCGGGCTTAACTATTTGGCCCCGGCACGAGTTTTGGAATGTGCGTACATTGACAGCATTTGATTACTTTGTAAACAGAACTCAAGACTTCCGGAAAATTCGCATTGCAATAGAAATTTTCGCTAACTCGACTGGACATCCATATGCGGCATGTGCTTCTATAAAAGCAAGTGAAAAGCTTTCGTTCGACTACAGTTTAATTTCAGCCCCGAGTCCAAGCACCACAAGCATGAAGATTGTCATTGCCAGTCTGGTAAGGATTTGAAAACTACCCCGCACCACCAATTAATGAGGAATTCTCCACATTATTCAGCTCGTGCAGATGGTGCTGCTGTTGCCACCCAGCGGTGCCCAGCAGGAGGATTCCACGGTCGGACATGCAATCCTTCGGCGCGACCTCGCGCAAATGATACAGGGCATACCCGATACGCTCAGGTCGGTTTTCGATACAAATGCCGAATATATCAGAAAACCCGTCGAGTTCTTGAGCTTTGGCAAAATCAAACTGGGCGATGACAAGAATAAATCCAATTGAAAATATTACCAACACAAAAGTAACTCTTTTTGCGTGTAAACACATTTTGGTGTAAAACAAACAAAAAATTTTGTTTAACAAGAAACTCTTTTTGAACTTAACGAATATTGAACCAAAAATGTAGCCCTAATTAAGCTTTTGTAGCCTTTAAATATTCTACATTAAATTTAATTTGATTTAGTTAAAAAAAAAATACTTTCAATCCGGATTCGAACTGGCATTCTTACTTGCCGGAAACTTTGTTTGTCAAATAAATGGATAGAGCTTAAAAATTGAGAGAGCGGACTTTTTATTTTAAGTCCTTTTTGGTTATAACTAATAGTTAAAATTAATCAAAATGTTAAATAAGTACTTTGTGTTGAAAACAAGAAGCTTGTTTTGAAGAATATGTAAACATAGTCAATAGTTTTTACAGTGTATTTTTTATATAGCCGCTTGTCACTTTGGACGTTAAATAAAGCCCTTGCAGCTGCAACATTCGATGAACTTTCTGTTTTTGTTTTATTTTTTTCCTGCTCGCGTTGCAGGTTCATTGGCCACCGTCAACAACGCGTGGCGCCATTGGCCTTGAACCTTTGCTGGGACCAAGGCACAACTATCACTATTCATATATACCCGGCATAGTCTCTTATTATGGCTAATAATAACACAACTGGAAATCTAGATTTTCCACCTGAATGACGCTTAACAGCTGGAGATTGTAAAATACTCTTAAGAATATTGGAGTGTAAGTAATTTAAGAAATCACGTTTTGAGGAGTACCAGCTTCTTCTTATTATTTTAATAAATTAATAAAATAAAATAAAAAAATGAGTATGAAAACAAAACAATCAAACTATATTTAAATATCACTGGCTCAAGCCTTCGGCAAAGAACCACATCCATAGACTAGCTTGGGAATCGATTCCAGATATTCGCTGGATTATATATAGGTATATACTTGGATTACACCATATTTTTGGAGATCCATGCTTTTAGTTTAAAGATTGCCTGATGAAATTTAACAGCGGATTGTTGTGAAATATATGTGAAGAGATTATATCTAAAGCAGGCCCAGACTTTGTTGAGTTCAATTTTAAGCGCTACGAATAGGAAAAGCAACTATTCAACTTAATTTCTAGACAATGGAATATCCTGAACTGTTGTCGAATAATATAAAATTGGTTTCAAATCAATGCCAACTTTTAAGAATTTAAATCCAAGCACATTCCATGAAACTAAGTAACCTTTTCGGAGGAAGCCTGGAACGGGTATGTTGCTATAGTTGGATAATCCAAAACATAGCCCCCACTTGTTTACAGCGCAGTTAGAGGCCATGCATAGCTGGCGGGGGGGAAGAGCCTGACAGTGTAAAGACCTTAAGGTCGAGGAACTGCAGCTAAAACAAACAAGGACACGGGCAAGCGAAAAAAATGAGTTAATACTCGATCGATATTCGAAGCAAAATGTATTTATTTATTCAAATTCGTATCACAAAGCCGTCCAACGAAATGCACGTCCCACTGCGCATCGGTTGAGTCCTGCGGATGGTTTCCTTTACCACACTCCTGTCGCGGTGTAGGTCAGCGGCGAGGCAGCGGCAATTTGAGCATAGCTGCTGTGCAACACTGGCGCAGCAGCAGCATAGGTGCTGTGCAACACTGGCGCGGCAGCAGCATAGGTGCTGTGCAACACTGGCGCGGCAGCAGCATAGGTGCTGTGCAACACTGGCGCAGCAGCCGAATAGCTAACGACGGGCGTCGATTTGACCACGGGCGCAACCACATCCTCGACAACATGAGCGGAGCTGTGCACCACCGAATGGCTCTGATGGGAGACAGATGTGGGCACACTCTTCACGATGGCGCCAACCTTGGCCAGAGCGTGCTCCTGGACAATTGTGGCGGCCGGAGCGGAGGCGGCATATACCACAGGCGATTCGTACAGATGACCGGGACGGGCAGCAGCTACGGCGAGCAGAGCAGACAATACCACCAACTTGAACATGTTGCGAGTTTTTTTTTTGAGTTAAAAGTTTGGTCTGTATTGACTGAATGCGTGTTGTTGTGGGCTTGAGTTTCTAGCGAGAACTGCTTGTGGTATGCCAACTGCAGGCGGTGTTTATATAGCAGCTGGCATAATGCCAGCGACCTTCACTACGCACAACAACGAAATAAAAACCATATCAGATTCAATTCTCACACACATTCAATAAGCAATTAGCGTCGGTGGGCAGCTCAGCTCCACTCAACTCAACTGAGCTCAGCTCCGGCAATTGTTGGTTGACAAACAAAACCAAAACCAAGAGTTGCTGGCAACCAGTTTAATTTGGCTCTGGCCCTTTATTAGCCGCTGCCCTCAGCTGCATTACTTGCACTTTAAGTGCGTCTCGAGCTTAGTTCTTTCAGGGTCAGCACGTTTGGAATTTCAATTTCCATTTCAGTTTCCCATTTGAACCTCAGCTACGTGCGCCACAAGACGTTCAGTTCAAGCAGCTTCACTCTGTAGGCTTCGAGAATGTGAAAAGAAGGGTATGCCATAATTTGTATTATTACAATAAGTTACAAGTCCAGTTACAGTCTAGTTACAATCAAATTGCTTCGACCTTCAGCTGAGAATAACGATTTCCTACTCCGGAATACGTTGCCAGATGAATTTTTCTACACCTAGACATTAAATTCTGTATGTGGATTCTACTGTATAACTAGAAAGTAGGACTAGCTATTTTCGGCACGCCACAGATTTAATACCCTTACGTTTTTTAGAGGTTTAGAGAGTAGTCAAGATAGACTTCGTATACATAGAAAAATATGACTGTGCGATCTACAGAAGATTTGGATCAAAGATAGCCAGCAAAGTTTAACTAGTAAATGCCAAGTTTGGTCAAGATATTTTGGTAGAAAAAAAAGTTGTTTATTGAAGAACTTACCTTTCGACTAATCATTGCTATGGTTGTCCCGAGGGGTTAGGATGTCAGACCTCTAACCAAGGATTTGGCAATTTGGATGGAGAGTTCTTTTTGGGACTCGAAAAGCTGCAACTGCTTCCCGAATCCCAATCACACGAACTTTATACATATATCGCAGAGTTCTGATAACGCGCTTCGCTCGCTGTGATTAAATCCTTATAGTATATCCTTATACTCTCACTGTGAGTCGAGAATTATCTGTCTCTCTCTTATGCTGGTTCATGGTCGTCAGGTTGGTGCTTCAAAGATTGTTACAGCTGGTAAAGTTTAGCTTAATTTAAATACAGCTTACGATTAGTTAAATAATCATTTTTCACATTTCGTTCTAGCAATGGGAATGGTGTATATACAGCAGAGTTCCGTCATTTTTAAAATGGGATCAAATGGATCCCATTCCATTCCTGGAATAAAGGGGAGAATTACTCATTTGTACAAATGTTGATTATACCAAAGAGTCCTTAAAAATTACATTTTAAAACATATTTGAATTTATTAAAGGACGCATATTCTATGGAATATAAACATTTTATAAAGATTATTTTAGAATGATATATAACAAATTTGATACGCCTAGATTTAATTTTTATCTGGCTGATTTGACTTTGAAAGCTTCTGCATTAAAATCGCATATGATTTCAAAGCAAGTTATCTGAGTTTCCCACTTAGTGTGGAAGATATGGAATAATAAACGTTTTCCTTTGACATCCAAATTTTGAACTAAATACAGAGTTGTTTGGGTAAAGCTAAGTCCATTTTTTATACGCCCAGCTTTGAGTAGGGCATAGTTTTCAATTTTTCTATTCCTATATATCAAATACTTAGGTCGAAACTCGTGTTGTCGACTAAATATTAAATAAAATAAATATTAACTAAAAGATAATTATTATTATTCCATCTACTCCTTATCGTTAGGTTAGGATAATACTTAAAATATAATAATGATTCCATCTACTTCTTATCGTTAGGTTCTGAGTACTTGGATTAAAAGTAATCTCTAGCCTCCCTCCCACCTAATCGACGCCCACTTCAATGCAAGTATTACGCAGAATTATGTTTATGAAATTATGGACATTTATTTACATCAGTCAAAAGGGTCAAGAAAAGAGAACAAAATGCAGAAAGGGTATGGAAAAATCTCGAGCAGTTCCAGTCCAGAAGCGAATACACCGAAGCAACGCTTCCGCTTCCGCTTCCGTTCAGAGTTGAAAGTGCTCCTACCAGGAGGACGCCCAGCCGTGAGAGGCCCACGAAGGCGACAGGATGCTGGTGTGCAGAGCTGGAGCGGCATAGGTCTTGTAGATGGGCGCTGCATAGGTCTTCACAACGGGCGCCAAAATCGGCTGGACAATGTGCGCCGAGCTATGCACCTGGCTGATGCTCTGATGCGACACCGACGTCGGTATGCTCTTCACAATGTGTCCCACACTGGCCAGCGCGGGCTCATGGATAATCGCTGGTGCGGCATAGCTGGTATGCAGCAGAGGACCTGCCTCCAGATAGCCGGGACGGGCAGCAACCACAGCGAGCAGAGCAGACAACACCACCTGTGGGCGGAAGAATTGGAGAATTGTTAATGGAGGAGGCGTGGCGTGGCCAGGGTAGTTGCTTGGACTTACCAATTTGAACATTTTTGCTAATCCTTGCGTTAGTTGGCGCTAGCTATTTGCTATAGAAATGAACTGTAGGTCTGTGTTGACGCGTCGCCGTTGACTGTTGCTAGCTGCAAATCCGCGACAGCTTTTATACACAAAAGCTGCCCAGACACACACACACACGCACACACACACACACACACACGAGCGATCCAAATTCAAAATCCAAAAACTGCGCCAAAAGTGCAGTAAATACAATAATAATAATTTTTGCACAGACATCGTTAAGAAAAGCCTGAAAAAAAAAACGACGAAGGCGACCCACCCGAATGTCCGGGCGGACGGGCGATCGGCTGCTGCAGCTGATTCAACAGCAACAACAACAACAGCAACAACAACATTAACAATGCTTTCGTTTACAGTTTTTCCGCCCAGCCCACTAACTACGAGAAGAAAAAAAACCAGTCAAAAGCTGCCAGACATCGGATTGCCCCCATCAGAGCGCGCAGTCGGCCAGTTGGGCACTTGGCCACTTGGTCGCCAGTTGGCCAGCGTCTGCCACTTGCAACACACCCAGCAACAACAGCAACAACAGCAACAACAGCAGCAACAACAACAAAAAGAGGCGCAACATTTTCGTGTCTGCTTTGCTGTCATTTTTCCACAGCCCAAAGTTGACCGTGAAAATTGTTATATACTCGCCCAAAACGTGAAGATGAAGCGTATTGGTTCACAGTGAGAGCATATTAGCTGGGTGTATATACTCGTGCTAGCGGGTATTGCCCGGCCTTGCCCGTTTTGTGCCACAGAGGAAGCTTGGATACAAATGATTTTTCGTATAGATCTTTGGAAGCGAATTTGAACACGAAAAGTCACCCACCAAATCTCGGACCCCCATTTCCACCAAGGAGGAATGCATTTTTCGAAAGGTAAGGAAAATCTTAAAGGAATTTGAACAAAGATGTTTGGAAATGAGTTTGAGGCCGATCGGATGGTAAACAAAAAAGTTTCATGTAAACGTTTTTCGCGCTTTTTCCACGCTCGCGGGTGGAATTTCCCGAAACCCTCGTCTACAGTTTTATATATAGAGATATACACCGATAAAATGTAATTGCCACGCCCAGTTATAGCCGGAGTTACCAGGTGGCCCACTAATTACCTTCTCTTTAGATCAAGCCCAAAAATTTTATAACTCAATTTGCCTCCTCGCCTATTTCAAGCTCTTCTTGGGCCTGTGAACGAGTATTGCGCAGTCGTTCACAGCCGACTGCAACACGTTGAGTTGTCCGTGTTTGTGTTTGTCAGTCTCTGGCGGCACGCACCGCCGGCAACCACTACGCAATTGTCGCAGCCACGCAACCAGCCACAAGAAGTGGCAAAAAGTGGCTCAAGTTCAGTGCGTGGCGATGGTCACTGTCAAATTGCCAAAGCTGGCAAAGTTGTTGTGCTTGTTGTTATGACTAGTTTTCTTTTTTTTTGGTTTGTTGTTTATCCCAGGCGAAGAAGTGGCAGCAGAATTGTAAATAAAGTTTATTAACCATAAAGAAAGGCGTGTGCTGGACAATTTGCTGGTTCAACTTGCGGGTCACGTAGAACGCGCAGAACTCTTCAGGCTGAGGGAGTGAAAAAGCAAGTAGGCAAAGTTGTCTTGGGCGCAACGAATATCTGATGCCCTTTAGGTCTAAGATATATCAGACATAAAATATGATCTTGGTCAAGAGATAAGCTTTAAGTATGATAAGTTTTAAGATGTTGCTTAAATACATATGATATACCCGGAACTAATTAGTAATAAGGATTAAAAAAACTATACAATATATTTTAGCCGACTTTTCAATAAGTAGTTGATTTAGTTTAGCCAATACTAGTATATATATTAGCTAAAGCAAAAAGCAGCATATGTGATTAATTTTATAAAGATACCATACAAAGTCGATAAGTTCACATAGAACAATCAGTTAGAATATGCCTACAGCGACTCGGCATGTTAAACTTATCAAGCATTTTATGCATTGTGGTCAAGTAAGACACCATAACACCCGCTGGGCATACAATATGCCCTAGGGTATTTAAGAAAGAAAAAAACTGATTACATTCCTTTTTGCATTAAAAAAGTGAACATTACTGTAAGCATATTGTAATTTCCTGTTATGCTAATCAGCGCCACAACAAGACAATGCCTCTGCCCACATAGAATCCGCTCTTGCTTCTCTCTCTCTCTCTCTCTCTGTCTCTAGTTATCCCTCTCTTTCTCTCTCTCGAGCGAGTTCCGCTTTTGTAATAGTTGTTGCCTCAGTTGCCATTCTACAAACTGCGAGCTTGCGCCGTTATGACCATTTGTCAGCTATTTTTTTTTTCTTCTGTTTAGCGTGATTAATGAATACTGCAAACTGGCGACACATAATTCAGGCAGCTGCCCCGCCCCCCTTTTGCTCAGGTCTCAAGTCTCTCTCTCTCATATTTGTTTACAAAAAATATTCTTTTGGCCTGCCAAAGTGCTTTTTAATAGATTTTCGATTTCTATTTTGGAGCCAGACTCACGACAATTGTTGTCTGGTTTCTCAACGAAATTCCTTTGGCCCGATATCCGGGCTATGCCCGCACCAGAGGGTAATGTACGCCTTATGGCCAACCCACACACACACACACACACTCCACTTGCGACTCTCTGGGGACCGGGCTCGGGCTGGACGGGACAGGGTCTTGTGACAGTTCTGGTTAGCGCGGCTCACCTGGCTTGCATAACAATGACAATATCTATAGATCGTTTAATCTGTGCTCTGTGCAACCTGGTTGGTTGTTTAGCTGCTTTTTAGCCAACTCCCATCCCCCCCCGTGTTAACCAACTTAATTTTGCTTTTAATTAAAGCCAAGTGGAGCAATTACAGTACTTAACCAGCGCTCAGTGCTGGGTCGACGTCAGCTTTGATCATTTTCAAATTAACTCGAGCTCGGCATGGTCAACTTTTTACTCAGTTTTTTGTTTGTCATTTCTTTAGAGTCAATTGGCTCGAAGGTCGCTAAGTTTCTGCGAGAATCAACTTTTCGTTCAAGACCGACAAAATACGGAAATCGGTTAAAGATAACAAATTAATCGATACACGTGGAAGCCATCCTGTTTGTAAACATTATCTTAGAGCATCTAACTGGTATTTAATTGGAGTTTTATAGAAATGATTACGAAATGAAAGAGAAGGCCTTATCTAAGTATGCTCGACTTGGGCATACTGTGTAGCCAGTTCTAAAGAAATCTATTTTTATAACTTTAGTCATAGTATCGATCCTTATATAACTTTCAGAATAGTTAGATATTGCGCTAAATACAGTTGTGTGTCGCATATAGAAACTTTTTCTTGGGAATTATAATAAAATAATTAAGATAGTTATAATGGAGGTAAGGTATTCCATAAGTGAAACACTCATGAACTGTGTATGAAATGTGAGATGCTTAAGAAAAATACAATGGGGCCCCTTTTAAATCGAAGTAATATATATATACAGACGGGTGGACATGGTCTACATCGATTTGATCTGTTAAAGCTGAAAAATATACTTATATAGTTATTGTAATCATAGAAGTCTCCTTCTGCTTTTTAATAACATAAACATAACAACAATATACACGCTTTTTACCATTTGAATTGTACAAGGTATTATTAAACCTTTTTTATAAATCTATCTAATATTTATAAACATAAGAATGCATGGACGAACAGGTTCTCGGTTCAAAGCTGCAGCCGACTTTACAATTCGGAATCCCATTTTTTACTCAACATGAATCGAACTTTAAATCGTTTTGTTGTTGGGCATTTATCCAAAAAAAAAAATTAGTTTGGTTCAAAACCACTTTTTCATATATTATTACAACATTTTTTATGTTATTCACGATAGATTCAATGTTCAAAATCTGACTTTCTAGGGTATGTGGGTAGGGCGTCTCCCATTCGTGTAACTTGATGACAACCATTACTCATGTTGTAAAGGGTATTCAGTTTGAGGTACTGCAATAAGCTTTGGCATAACTGCTAAAAGCACAATCTTAAAAAAAAGACACTTATTGCATTTGCAGGCAGAAAATAATGAATACACATATCTACTTAACTATCTATCAATCTTAGTGTCATATACTACATGTGTATGTACAAATGTTGGTCCAGATTTTGGGTGCATGTAAATTGACTAAATTTTTAGCTTTATTCATGCTTTGTCCGAACATGAAAACCGCCGCCGCCCCACAGCAACAATACAAATGGGAGCCTGTCCTGCCACAGTTCACTCAGGTGTCAGTCAGTCAGTCGGTCGGTCAGTCAGTCAGTCGGTCGCAAAGTCGGTTAGTTAGTTATTTGGGCACTCAGGCAGCCGGCGCCAGGCACGAGTTGGCCAAAGTCTAGCAAAGAGTTTGGCAGATTGCGCAAAACAAAAAAGCAAAGAAAAAAAAAATCAGTGAGAAATGTTTTCAGTTAAATAGATATAATTTTTGGGCCTGCAGCTGCGCATTTTTAGTGGGTTGTTCGCTTAGAGATAATATGAAAAGCGCATTGGAAAACGTATGCGATTCGAGTGGCTCGTTCAAGCATTTCGATACGTAATTGCATTAACACGCAGCGCTTAGTGGGACAACGCGGCGTATGCTTAATAAAAAAGCAGCAGCAGCAGCAGGTGGCCAAAATGTGGCAAATCGTGTTGTTGCTGTTATTTCTGCTAAGGTCAGTTGAGTGTCCATCAACAATGACATTTTTAGCTGGCCAGCGGATGTGTGTGCAAAGTTATTTCCATAGCAATAACATTGAAATTACTTTTGGGCCAACACGGCGTATGCGCAACGTTAGAGCAGGTGCCGAGACTAACCCACTAAACTAAAGCGAATGTCTTGCCACATAAAGCCGCAAGTGGCCTGCAATAAAGCCAGTTTTCGTTTTAGAGAGTGTGCAACATTTCCTGGTGCAGATAAGACGAATTCGTTGCATTTGTTAAGTTTCGGGCGTGTTCGCTCTGTGGGTCAAGACAATTGACCAGACCAGACTTGAGCTGGCCAAGCCACAGCAAATTGTTAAGCAAATATTTTCATATTCAATTGCTCGCCGCCTGATTAATCTAAGCCAAAAGACAGCCGACAACCGAGTGCCTCCATTTGACATTTGGCGTCGAGTTGCCGCACTCCAACTGCACTTGTCGCCTGTCAATTGCAGCGCGACATTCTAATGAGCTTCCCCTCCCCCTCCACCCCCGCGCCAGTTGAGCACCTTGAATGTCGCGTTCGTGAACTTTTTGTTTGTGCTTGTGTAGCTCCAGTTTCTAGACTTAAATATCATAGCCAAATGCAGGCATAGATCTTCAATCCTAACCACGACACATGACGTTGAGGCTACAGGCTGCGAGTGCCACTTGCTTCCACATTTTTATACTCCAGAAGCGAGTTTTATAATTGTGACGAAATATGGGCAATGCATTGAAGAAGACATCTTCAACTCCATAAATTATATATATATTTTTGATTAGTATGTGAGTTTCGAGTGTCTCAATTTTAGCTGGATTGAGAACTTATATCATCTATCTTAACCAAACTAAGCAGTTATGTGCTTCAAAGTTCTTCTAGCATAAATCAACTGGATTGAATTCTTATATCATATACATATATATTTTAAACAAACTACTACTTTTCCTAATATATGAACCAAGTTTTATCAACATCCGTCTACTATATCATAATCAATTAGTTTCCCAGGGATAAACTCTTTTACTTGCAAGATATTCTGAAATTATTATCTTAACAAATAAGAATATTCTTCTCAATTTCAATTCTTATCAGACCACGATCTTATATACTCTATATTACTTCTTATAGGTTCTCACACATGTTATATGTCTGCCAGGGTATCTAATCTTCGACTACCCGTTAAGAACTGCTTCTTGTTAGACAAAGTTCAGCTAGTTTTTGCAGCTTATTGAAATATTCTCAGCCTAAATATAAAGATAACAAGAATTGCAACTAATTTCCACGCCAGCAAATCGGATGGAAAATAATGCACAATTCAATTGGCGAGTGTGAATTTCCGCTGCAACCGCTAAAAGCCAAAAAAAAATAAATGAAAATTAAAAAAAAAAACAATTTAAAAAAGACAACAACAACAATTTGGCTAGCTGGTCAAGGTCGTTGCAGGCAAATGTAACACTGGCATAAATTATGCTTGCCGCGGCAGCAGCAGTTGCCACCATGTGTTGCAAGCCAATTCGACAACAACAACAACAACAACAATTACAACGGCAAACAGTTGCTGCCATTAGTAACGGTATACGATGAACTAAAGGCACAAATTGCGGCGACATAAGCAGAGGCAAAGGCAAAGGCAAACGCTTTGGCAATTACCAATGGCAACATTTCAGCCCAGACGACAACAACAACAAAAACAATCGCTGCCAAAATCTTCGACACGCTTGATTGAGAAATTCCCGTAGTGTTGGGCATGGTTAACACTGATTGAAGATACCAAATAAATAGCTAAGGATAAACGTGAGTTGGGATAGATCCGACCACAGGGTCTTTGATCAGAAAGTTGAACTCTGAGAATTGAATGGCAGAATTATTGGCTCAAAGCCAAATAAGAAATACAAAAGCGAAAAGAACACTGAGCAGCAAAAACAAAATTAATAAATAAGAGATATGAAATCTAATATCATTATAAATTAATTTAAGCAATATTTGAAAATTCCTATAAAAGGTTTTTCGATCAAAAATTACAGATATTACAATAAACTATAAATTTGAAAATATGTCAATATACGGAAAAAATTGGCTAATAAAACAAATTATGGTAATCTTTGTGGGTATCAACATAAAAATATATTCAAGTTCAAAGATAAAAGAGCTTTAATAGAGAAATTATAAAAACTGTTGTCAATTGATATCTGCACATAATTGAATTTCTAACGAATTACGAACCAGAAGATGATCTGGGAAGACGCTCTTCAAGCTCCTGTCAGTAGGTCAGAACGGGAGCATATGAAGAGTCTTCCGATAGTTGACTAATACTTTTATTCATAGAATAACAGATCATGCCATTCTATTGCTTAAGTACAAAGGGCTAAACTTTGTTACAATGGGCGTAATGCGCAAATTCCCTATAATGAAAGAACTCCGAACCAACGGAGGAAACCCACCAAAAATAATCATACTTAACTTAAAGGTGGTTAATAAATTTTCATGTAAATTAATGGAGATCTATGGCTTACAAAGCTGTTACTTAGAGAGTGTAACTCATTTAGCTGGAGAATACATAGACTTCTTTCATTTGTGGTAGACGGGAAATAAGATGAGATCATCCGGAATTTAACTAAAAAAATTGTTTACTCTAGCTCTTAAGCTTCGTATGCATATTTATAGCAATTATTTATCTATTGCAAGTTCCTGAAGTCGAATGTTAAATTATTTAAAAGATACTAAACGGACAAGCTCGACTTTAAATTGTAAACAGGGTATCAAAATATATTGATATTTATAAAAATAAAAAAAATTTCATTGTTGATAATATATCACAAATATCGTTATTACTATCAGCTGCCTTCCATTCCCAGCTCAAATCATGCTGCTTGTAGGCCAGTGTAAGCGAAGCGATAATCAAAATCGAGGCAATTACAGCGTCTGCTGCAACGGCGGCAACCTCGGCAACGGCAACGGCAACTGCAACTGCAACAGCCACTGCGGATGCAAGTGGCAACGTTGTTAATGCCGGCAGCGCGGATATGGCAAAGCGGCAAAGTCGATGAGTGGGTGGGGGGATGGAGGGGGGTGTTGTAAACACAAAACGTTGCATTGAAATCGCGACAAACAATGAGAGCATCTGCAGCTGTTGGAACTGTCGAGCGTTGGCAGCTGCTGCTGCTGCTGCTGCAGCCAATGGCAACTGATGCAAGACGGCAAGTGTATAAAAGCCACCGCGTGGTGTCATGGTGGCATCAGTTGCACGCTGCAAGTCATCGAGCACCCCACACACACACCCACACACAAGGATTACACACACACACACAACATGCTGAAATTGGTAAGCAAAAGGATAACCACCGAAGGAGTTGCCTCAAATAATGCCATCTTTTTCAGTTGCTGTCGCTGCTCTTGCTGTGCGCCTTGGCCCAGGCACGCCCTGGATATCTGCATGGCCACCACCACCACTATCCGGAGTATCCGCTCCTGGCCGCCCATCATCACCACATCGAGCCGCTGCATGTGGCCAAGATTGTGCATGTGCCCGCTGCCGTATCGCATCAGAGCTCGACGGTGGTGCACAGCGTACCGCATCATATTATCAAGCCGGTGGTGCTGCCCACTGTGGTGAAGACTTTGGTGCATCCACCCATCATAAAGACCTACCATCCGGCGCCCATCATCAAGGCCTATCCCTACGATCCCTTCCACTTCCATCATCATCACGATTTCCATGATTATCACCTGCACTAGGCAACCACCTGGGCGCTCTTTTACTCTATAAACCACCCACCCAGCCGCTTTTACCACTCGATCTTGCCTGCTGCCTGAATGTGTATGAATGTGTGTGCAAATTGTTGTCCAGCAACTCGATAAATGTATTAAGAAATTTAAATAAAAATTTGAAACTAAATAAGTTCTGTGGTTAGTCATTTTTATCAGTAAGAACTGGAGAAACTTTGCAGACGTCGCCCTGGCTCTGATAAATGCAAGATTTGAGCCAGCAACCTCTCGCTTATTGGTCCGACGCGCAGACTAATGACGTCTTTGCAATGCACACTTAAATGGAATCGCTATTTTAATCGTTTTCATACGAAGTTAACATTATTTTTATCAGTTTACTAGGGAAACTTAATAGACGTCGCCCTGGCTCTGATAAATGCAAGATTTGAGCCAGCAACTTCTCGCTTATTGGTCCGATGCTCATTGGTGCTTATTGGTGCAATGCACACTTAAATGGAATCGTTATTTTTATCTGTTTCAGACGAAGTTTGGGCTGCGCGTTGATCGCAAATCAGTTCGTCAGTCTTTATATTAATATTGTCAGCTTTTATGTATATTGATTTTTGCGTGTTATTTGTTGTTAACAAAGAAATGTGGTCTATATTTGTGGCTTGTCTTGCATTTGATTGCGGGTAATTGATAGCCCCCTCATAAATGCCAGACTGGCGATGCTGACGTCGAGAAAGCAAACAACATAACAAATAACTGATTACCTATGCACAGCCCGATACCCTTTCCACCCTCAGCTCTTTAAACAATGCCTTGGCCAGCATAAACAATTGAACTGGTTTTTGTTTTAGCCGGAAAGTAAGCCTATAGCACATCTCTCTTGGCCTGCCTCGACCACATAACACACAATGCAGGGCAAGTGACTTTTGCGAAGTAGAGATGGCAGAGTATCAAATTTTTACATCACGATACGAACACGAATCACAGCCTGGTAAAAATTAGAGCTAAGCGATACAAGAATATGTGAAATATGCCATTAAATACTTTTATTTCTGAGCCTTAATAGAGCATTCCAAGAGACATAATCATTCATCCAGAAATAAAAACTCCTTATCAATTATACACACAATAACTTAACGAATACGTGTGAATTTAAATATTCCACTCGAAGCTCTGTTAAAAGTTAGAGCTAAACGATGCAAATAAATGTGAAATATGCCATTAAATATTTTCATTTTTCAACCTTAAGAGAGTATTCCAAGGGACATAATTATACATCTATAAATTAAAAACTCCTTATCAAGTCTCCACACAATAACTTAACGAATGCGTGTGAATTTAAAAATTCCACCCGAAGCTGTGAAAAATTGGCGGAAAACGACTTTTTTGTTTACCCAACGATCCACTTGAAACTAATAAGTGTGAAACGCATTGTAGTTACACACTCATGAGAAAATCGAAAGAAATTGGTCTCTCATATAAAAGAAAACCAAAGCAGACCAATTGTGCAAGCTTGACTTGACACGTGCTCATCTCCAGCCCTTGGTGGGCTGTGAATAATAGGCTAAGCTAACCTAAGCGACTTGGTGACATAATTAGCATGTAATCAGGGAGTTATCATACGACACCAGTGGCAGACAACGTGAATGGTTGTTGGGTTGGTTGCTGGGCTGGTTCCCAAGCTTATGACAAACACTTGGCCAACAGCACGTGTGTGCGAGTGTGCGCGAGTGTGTGTGTGGCAACACAAATGCTGTTTCTGTGTTATGCAAATGAGTGCATTAGCAAAACGAGTGCAGAGTGCCACAAATGGTGCTAAAGATAGATACATATATAGATATGGTAGGAGTAGTTTATAGAGGAGCATACTTGACAGCTCTTATGCTCTTATGAAACGCTGAGCTCTCTTATGCACAGTTTCAAGTTCATATTTATGTGCTCGTCTCCTTTGAAATTTACACAACTGTTTGCATAAGCTGCAAAGCACATGCAAATCGCATGCCAATTAAATCAAACCAATTGCGGACAGAACACTCATGAATCAAATGCCGCATTCATTCAAATGGCAACCTGTCCGCCCCATAAGTCTAAGCAAATCATCGGCGTTTAGTTAATTTGCGCTAATTAGTTCAATCGAGTCTGTGACGACAGCTCAAGTAAATTAAAAAGGGGCTGCTAAAGACTTAAGCGCCGATGAGCTTATCATTTCCTAGCTCAGCTCAATCAATTAAAATCAAATCAAAGCAATGCGGTTGTTTTTCGCAGGCCTTAACCCTGAACTGTGCTTTGACCACAACGCATATTTCAGGGCGAACAAAACAAGAGGTGGAAAGGCGGGGTTAAGGGCAGACTGAGCAACTGGCAGCTGTTAACTGACTACTTGCATACCCTGTAATTGAAGAAGATATTCAAATGGGACTATAGATGGGAACGTTTAATAGAACGTATTTTAGAGCTTATAACATATTGAGATCTAGAACTGAAGAACTACCTAACAAATTTTGTATGTGAACTCTATATGTCTGAATAAATTATTATTTAACTGACCGATCTGAAATATAAATAGCATTGTCCAACTCTTTATCTTCATAAATCTATTGAGCTCGAGAACTATACTAACAAGCAAATATTTCAAATATTTCTACATATTTCACTGTAGCTCTCATCATAAACTCATCGAACTCGAGAACTTTACTATGTATACTTAGCAGATTTGATATGTGGCCTCTATTTGCCACTATAAATTACAATTTATACCAACATATCGATCTATGATATATGTGTATAGCCTTGTTCAACTATCTGTCTATACAAACTCATTCAACCTCGGGAACTATGTCAGCTAGAGTTAGCAAATTTGGTATGTGGACTCTATATAACATATAACATTATAAATTACAATGTTGTTTAATGATAAGCTTAAATATTAACAACATAACTGCAAGACGACAAAAATTTCGAGTTGGTTCAACTTGATTTGAACCAGCTTTAGTTTATAAAAGGATTCAGAATTTCGTAAGCCCAGTTTATAAATTCGAGTTTGGGTTTTAGTTCAAATCCCATTTTAAGCCTACATGACAATAATTACAACATTTTGATTGCTTTATTGACTTGCAAGCTTAATGATTCTGGGGAGCACCTAAGCAAAATGCATGATGTGCAAACGTTTCAATATTACACAAGACAAACTGAGCGACAATTGTCTAACAAAGTGTCCACATTAATCAACCATTGCCAACAGCTTTGGCTTAATTTATGCGAGCCAAAAGTGCAAAGAGCAGGCCGCAAGCACACACACACACACACACAGGCATCTACCCTCAGGCTGTCTTTCTTTGCCATATGATTAAGAGTGGAGCAGTTTGTATAATGCGGTCTATCTGTTGATTTGTTTTCGCATGGGCTCAGGTGTGCGGAGGTGCGGAACGCATGCAACAAAATCAAGCATACGACGCGTTGCACGAGTGGACGTGGGCATGTCCATAACCTGTTAACGTGTTCGAAGCGAACTCAAGTCAAGCAAAAACCTGAACGTAAGCCGAGAACGTGAACGAGAACCTGCCCCCGGAAGGGTTTCCAAGCTTTTCCACAGCAATGCATCAAGTGTGTCGCGTGTGGCTCGAATCTGTGTTTGTTGCCAGGCCAAATGGGGTGACAACTGCAGAGGCGTTGACACACACACACAGACACACTCACACACACACAGACAACAGTATACACTCGGCTGATGCACTGCTGTTGTGTTTTGCAATTTTCCGTATAAATAGGCAAGTGTTCAATGCAATTCTATGTCAAATCGTTACCAACTATCGACACAATAAAATGTTCAAGCTGGTAAGTAAATAGTTCTCGATAAGATCCTCAGATCCCAGTTCTAATTATTTCGCTTTGACAGTGCGTATTTGTTGCTCTGCTGAGCCTGGCGGCTGCTGCCCCCGCTCCAGCACCTGTGCCGGCGCCCGCTCCCTCTGGCCTCTGGGGACCCACCGTGGTTGGACCCAGCATTTGGGGACCCACAGTTGTTGGACCACATGTCCTTGCAGCAGCTCCAGTCGCTGTTGGACCACACGTTGTTCATGTTGTGCCCGGCGCAGTGTCCCATGTCTCTGTCAGTCAGCTGCATCCCTCGCCTGTGCTGGTGAAGAGCATATGGTAAAAGCTGGCTTGAAGTTGAGACACAGACGGACACACACACACACACACACCGACACATGCACACACGCGCTGAACACACGTAGCCAACGGCTAATCCCACTCCTGACATTATTTAACCAGCTGAAATTTCACGTGCCCTGTTTATGAAACAACAGCAACAACAAAAATCACAAAAAAAATGTTTAAGATTATAATAAATAAAATGTCCTTACAAAAATAATTCCTATAGCGAGCGAATTTAAAGACTTTTGATTTTCTTAACGAGCCAAAAAGTATGCAATATTTTTTCTACACGAATGCACAGGCTGGTATAAGACGGCTGCAAGACAGCCAATCAAATCTGCCTACATAGCCAGTATCTGGATTTTATAAGACTGCTAGTATAAGACTGCAAATTACTGCATCTGTAAGACTGTTGCTGTATAAGACAACGATTGACTGACTTTTATAAGACAACTGCTGTATAAGACAGCAAGTCAAATCTGCCAATCAAAGACTGCTAGTATTAGACTGCAAATAACTGCATCTATAAGACTGTTGCGGTATAAGACAGCGATTGACTTTTATAAGACAACTGCTGTATAAGACAGCAAGTAAAATCTGTCTAGACAGCAAATACCCCGACTTTATAAGACTAATAGTATAAGATACATTATCAAATCTCTTACATATATAAATTTCTTTGCGTTATTTATACCCTTTCTTAATGACTGACAGTATAAGAATGTTGCTGTATAAGATAGAATATCAATTCTCGTATATATGCAAATTTCTATGCGTTATTTATACCCTTTCTTAATGCTTTTTTACATGAAACGAAAAATTTTATTAAAATAAAATCATAAATTTCCTATCACAATCAATAGCTGATGTTCTCATTCAATCGCCTTCTAATGATGCAGAGTGTAGGCCAAAGGAGCTGAGTGCACCACAGACTTATACAAAGGCGCGGAGTGGACAACTGGCACCACAGGAGCAGCATGGTACACAGCTGGAGCGGCATGGACAGCTACAGCTGGAGCGGAATGGATGGTGGTCTTCAGAACTGGAGCTACGACATGTTGGACGACAGGCTTGCTGTGGACCTGGGTGATGCTCTGGTGGGAGACAGCCGAGGGTGCGCTATGAATCACAGTGCCCACCTTGGCCAGAACGGGCTCGTGCAGCACATGATGGGTCTCAATGAGGCCGGCGCTGGCGGAGGCGAACAGCAGAGCAACAATAGCAACCTGTGTTTTAATAAGAATCCATCTTTAATAATAACTCATCTATATCCCATTAAAGTTAACTCACGTATTTGAACATTTTGAGTTTTTGTGTTTGTAGCTTGGACTTGACTCGAGGAGCTTTGAATTGTGACTGATGATGCTTTTGGAGTCTGCAGTCGCGTTTATATAGAACGCGTCGTGCTTAGCTGCCAATGGGGAAGTGAACACACAAAAGACCAAAAGGCAAGCAAAGCTTTAATCTTCAATAAGACTCAGCAATAACCCCACAGCCCAAGCAAGCCGAATCCCGAAGCCAAACCCGAAGCCAACTAGTTTGAATGCGATCGTGTCCATAATTATTTCCGACAACTGCAACGCACGATTCAAACGCAGCCGCGGCTGCTGTCTTATCAAAGTTCAGTTGAGTCAAGGTGAACGACCTGTTGACATATGAGCCCTTAGCCAGCAGCCAGGCTCCTATAAAAGCGTTTCGCGCAGAACCCAACAGCATCAGTTAATAGCATCAGCTTCTGCGTAAAACAACAAATTCTCCAAAAACACAAAACTCAAAATGTTCAAATTCGTAAGTGCAAACGAAACATAGAAGTCGGAACTGTCTTTAAAGATCTCTTTTTATCCGATTACAGGTTGCTATTGTTGCTGTGCTCTTTGCCTCCGCCAGCGCCGGCCTCATTGAGACCCATCATGTGCTGCACGAGCCCGTCCTGGCCAAGGTGGGCACTGTGGTTCACAGCGCTCCATCTGCTGTCTCCCACCAGAGCATCACCCAGGTCCACAGCAAGCCTGTCGTCCAACATGTCGTAGCTCCAGTTGTGAAGACCACCATCCATTCCGCTCCAGCTGTGGCTGTCCATGCCGCACCTGTGTACCATGCTGCTCCTGTGTACCATGCTGCTCCTGTGGTGCCCGTTGTCCACTCCGCGCCTTTGTACAAGTCTGTGGTGCACACAGCTCCTTTGGCCTACACTCTACACCATTAAAAACCAACTTGTTTTGTTATTCTCATAAAGTAAATCAAAATTAAATAAAATATACTTAAAGTATTATTGAAACATAAATTATGTTTTTTATTATTATAGAAGAAAAGAATATCACAAGACTATAAAGCTGAAAAGTCTAAGAGAGACAGAGAGAGATATGAAGAGATATGAGAAATGAGAGAGATGATGAAAGAGATTTAGAGATAGATTCTCCAGAACCGTGCCCAAATTATTTAATATATATATTTATTTAAAATATAAAAACAAACAAAATACCAACAACTATGCAAAGCTAACAATATTTTCAACCTAAGCTAACTGGCGACTTGTAAATAAGACTCCAATGGGTAGGACTAAGAGTCTGCAGAATATCCAAATCCCAAGACAAAGTCTCATTGTGTTGGCTGCACTGGCTGTTGGGATGCACCAGCTCCACCATGGAGCCAACCACAGCTTGTCTGTGCAACCACCGAGTCTCTCCAGTTGAGCTCACAAGCGCCAGGCAGGCGACAAACGCCAAAGAGTACAGCAACTGTCAGATGGAAAGGGTATTTAAATATCCAGTAGAGTATTGAAGTGCAATTGTGCTCGGGCTTACCGCTCTATGCATGTTGTGTGGATCAATTGAATGGGATTTAGTCTTAGTTTGAATTGGCTGCCACCGAACTCCAGTAAGAACTCATGCCACATTGAGGCCTAAGTGTCGTTTATATAGCAAAGTGCCAAAATGCCAACAAATTATTTGGCCCAAATTATTAAACGACAAATTATCAAATGACAACAAATGACAATCTGGCAATTCGTTGCGCTGGATTAGCTGAAGGCCTAAAGACTACAATTGGGCGACTGAATGCTCAACTCGTTCGCTCAAACTGTAATTAGGGTTTGTAGGTAAGTCTTCCAGCTGGAGATACGTTATATAATTATGGCTAGAGAGAAGTCAATACGAATTGGAAAGGTCTACAAGTCATACAAAATGCAAACTCTTGATATTTAAGGACTTGAAGATCGCGTCTGTCTTGCTAAAAGGAATATCCAAGCATCAAAAAACAAACATTAACCTCAATGTGAGAAGATATAATTGTTATGAGGTCTTTCGACTAAGTTTAAGAGATTCAGTCATACGGCCACAAAATCTTTATATTAATGAAATCTCTAAATCTATATATCTGCCGACTTTGACTAACTGAAAGGCTGATTGAATGACGGATTGATTGATCATTAACGAACAATAACCGTAAGGAAGCTAGGATACTTTATTTTTTATAGTTGTGAAAACTTCCTCACGCAAAGGAGTAAAAGGGAGAAAACACCCTGTATAGAGCTAGACCGCAGGATGCACACCACCTGCTCAGGCCTCTCCCTGTTTAGTATCTGAAAACCACTGAACCGAGCTCCAAGTGATCGATTGCATTGCTTGAAACCTGGTCAGAAAGCCAGAGTCCATCCACAGCAGACGGCAGACGAGTTGAACTGCAGTTACCACAGCACAAATTAGGATTTACGACGAAGCTGAAGAGCGGCGGCGACTCGTGTAAAGTCTTCGCGTATTTCATTTTCGAAAACAAATCATTTATTTTACTGAGATGTTTATCTTAAGTACGTGTAACTGTCACGGCGCGCGGCGAGACATTACAAGACATATAAAAAAAATTGGAAATCTTGTCAAAAAATTGTGGGTTAAGTACGCGTGGGGCTTGTCTCGTCCGTGGCTTAACCTTGACATAGGGCCTGAGACGGAGCTCCTCAAGTGGGCACTTAACGGCGGCAGCTGCACTTGGTAGTGCTTTTTTTTTTATGGCTCCAACAGCAACAACAACAACAACATGTGTGCGTCTTGCTTTTGGGTTTGGCCATGAATCAGAGACACAAAAACAACGACAATCAACAATAACAATCAACATCAACTGGATCTGTGACCACGATTGCGCGGCTGTCGATGTTGCAATTTTGCTTCAATTTGAATGCTGCAGCTCCAATTGCAATGTGTATAATTTATTTCGTATTGTTTGTGTGTGCTTCTCCTCCCTCCATCCCCCACTCCCCCGCTTAGCCCCATTTTGTTTCCCAACAACAAAACGTAAGGCAGCATCTTTCAGGTGTGTTCTGGTTATTACAGAAATTGGGTCGCATTGAAAACTGGGTCAAGTTGTAGATTTGATAAACCTTTTTCAAAGCGAGTTTCAATCAGGCGTTAAATCCAGATATCACAAAAGAAGCTCTTTAAGCTATTGTATAGCTGTTCCCAAAGTTATAGATAATTAACAAAAAATATATATTGAAAAATATATTAAAGGTTTTGGCCTTCGGCGGAGTCATTATAACATCCATCTGATAATCGAACCCGGAACTTGGCTGTTCCGTTGCCTTAATGACTCCATCAATTAGACAATTTATCTATTAAGGTCGGCAAGGCTTAGGTCTCTTTTTTTGTGGTTTTATAAAACAAACATATTGTGAAAAAGTTTGATGAGTTTCCTCATGATTTTTTCACATCTGCTCTTTAATTTACTATTATATTATATAAGAAATACTTTTAATTGTTTTATACAGTATTCTTAAGAACAATTTTTAGTGTTCATTTTTTATATAGTCAATCATTTTGAATTGATCTTAATCCATTTGATTCACATGATCGTGTGTGATTAAGAAATACCGGTAGAAGGTTTAAAGGTTAAGTAATTGACTCGGTGGATCTTATTCGAACTATGGCAGGTTGATAAAGCGATCGAGTAGTCGATTAAAATATAAAATATACCTTCCTTTTGGTTCCTACATATATTAGCGTCCAGTAGAATAATATCCTTTAACAGTCATATAACCATTAGCACTGCGTTTCAGACTTTATTTCCGAAAATAAGAAACTTCTATGGACTATTCAAGCGTTACGCTGTAAGCTTTTCACAAGAGGCAACTCTTCCAATTACTCTTTTCTTAGAGCTGTTCGCCAGAGTAACAGAATGGCCTGATATACTATTTGTTTTAATTCTTGGGATACATAACATATGTTACGACACGTTCATTACACTTGTACAGCTTTCATAGGAAGTTCATGTTTTATTCTTCTGTATTGTTTCCCATCGAACATGCGCAACAGTTCTTGTATTAACTCGTATGAGCTGATTTCGCAAGAGGCTCGACTTCTGGCAGATATCTTGCCGCATCTGACGGCAACCTAGTGATTGCGTCAGCACAATAACTCAATTGTTGCAACCACACACACACACACACACACACACGCACACTCGAATGCAACTGTCAATGCAAAAGTGAGAGATTGTAACTTAATTAGGTTGCCGCAGAAATGCGGAGACTGGCAAATGCCAGTCAAGATGGCATTGGTGCAAAAGATAAAAACGAAATGTCAGCAATGCACTAAGGATTAAGGCAGATGCAGGATAACCAAGACGACTTCCCACACACTCACCCACACACACACGCATATACTTGACAATTTGCGTAAGCGCACCCACAGCTAAGGCCAATTACGAGTCGCATGGAAGCTGAGCTGATGCTGATTCAATTGTCAGCTGGTGCGCAAGTACAATAAGCTTCCTATTACACACACAACACACACACGCACACCCACACAGCTAAAGCGCTTTACAATGGCAGACCTAGGTCAACTCATGAACTTCCCATTGGACTTGGCTGAAGCTTAGAAGCTGGCCGCTGTCGAACCGGTTGGCAGCTCAAGTTCAAGCCCAACCAAGTCAAAACCAGAATTGAAATTACCAAAAAAATAATAGTTATAATAATAATAGCCAACAACTGTCCCGCTTTGTATAAAAGCAGCCGTTCAATGCCCCAAACAGCAGCAGTTGCAATCGACTCACAAATCAAACAGCAAAAACCTTTCTCAAAAATGTTCAAATTCGTAAGTGCAGCAGAGGCAAATGCCAAATGTCCTGTCCACAAATCCTTGCTTCTATCCTTGCAGATCGCCTTCTTTGCCTGCGTGGCTGTCGCCTCCGCCGCACCCGGACTGCTCGCTGCCACACACTCCATTGTCCAGCCCGCTGTGCTCACCAAGACCGCCTATGTGGACCACAGCGCCTCCTCGGCCATCACCCATCAGAGCAATGTGAATCTGGTGCGTAAGGTGCCTGTTGTGCCTGTCGTCCAGACCTACCATGCCGCTCCCGTTGTGCATGCCGCACCTGTGGTGCATGCCGCGCCCGTTGTCCACACTCCCCTCGTCCACACCTATGCAGCTGCCCCGGTGGTGCACTCTGTGCACTCTGTGCCCGTGGTGCACTCGGCTCCACTGCTCAAGACTGTGGTCAGCGCTCCAGTCGCCTACACTGCCATCCACAAGTAAATAGCTAAACGTTCTCAGAAATTTACAAATAGTTCAGCAATATACGAAACAATTAAACGCAGATTTCAAACTCGAACATTTCATTGTTTTCAATTTAGGGGGGAAAGTATCCAAAAGTAAAAGATACTAATTATATGTTTGCTCTAGGATAACTAAATATCAATTTTGGTGTATCTAGCTTTTAAAATATTCGATATATAAACCAAAAACTGCAACTGGATATCGATATTTATCGATTTTGGGAGATTAGGAAGTTATCGATAGTTGGGTTTAATCTCAATCTGCCAAACAGGAATATACACACATTATCAGGTCAGATATGGTTCATATAAGCTGTTAGAAGCATTTGTACAATTTCATGATACCCTTCCTCCCCTTTTTACAGGGCATAACAATTAATTTTGCCAAAAGTCTGATATATCGGTTCTTTCTGGAAAAACCCGATATGTCAGATTACCTTAAAGAAATGCAGTTGCAAATTAATATAAGGTTTAACGAATTTAAAATTCAAATATAACAGATACAGTTTCCTAACACTATATAGCTCTAGCAAGTCCTTTGCAACACTATAAATAGCCTCATATTAGACATCTGTCAAAAATGTGTAAGCAAAGGAAATGGTCTTCTATTTGTGTGGAATCTTTTGTTCCAAGTGCCTATCTCAATTAATTGTAAATGCTTAGAAAGCTTAGTGAAAAGAAACGTGACCAAAAAATTAGCATCAAACAAAATAGATGAGAACTAATTGAACGGAAATAGAATACTTGGGAAATAAATTCAATGACGGGTGCATAGAAAAAGTCGAATAGAATCGAGACTTTGACGAAATGGATTTCAATAGAGCACAATTTTGATAGAATCATTTGACAGATTTTAATTAAATATAGCGAAAACCTTTAGAATCGAACTTGAACAAACAGAATAAATGGGAAATATATACTAATAGTTATTTATGCATAACATACCCCGGTAGGATTTCATTTTGGAATGACGCACTTCGCTGATTAATTAGCACAAGTCCCTCGATGGCCTGGGAAACCAATAGAAATAAATATATTATCTTAAATATATTACAAGTATAAAAGTAATCAAAAAATATGAATATACTAATTCCATAAATTTAATAAAATGATAATAAATCTTTTACTTCGTTCAATATTCACAATTTATTCAAATAATCAACAATTCCACAAAATCAATAAAAAAAAAAAATGTTCTTAATGGTGGTAGACGTGAGCGACGGGAGCAACGGCCACATGTTTCACCACGGGCACCACTGGAGTTGCGATGGTCTTGAGGACTGGGCTGACGATGGTCTTCTGGTGGATCTGTGTGTGGCTCTGGTGGGAGACGGCATGCGGCAGAGTCTTGACAACGGACACGGGAGCCACATAGGTCTGGTGGTGCACAACGGGAGCCACATGCTTGACAACGGGCACCACTGGAGCTACATGACTGACCACAGGAACTACGGGTGACACATGTTTGACAACGGGCACAACATGCTTGACCACGGGCGTGATGACCGCCTGGTTGTGGAACTGCGTGAAGCTCTGATGGGAGGTGGCCACGGGTGCACTGTGAACCACAGCGCCCACCTTGGCGACAACTGGTGCAGCCACCACATGATGCTCCTCCACGAAACCAGGCGCAGCTGCGGTAATGGTGGCCAGGGCACAGATGGCAATCTATTTTGAAATCAGCAATAATAAGTTTCCTTGGAAGGATTACTTTTCAGCTACTTACAAAGCGGAACATTTTTAAAATTGGGTTTTTTTTTTGTTTGGTTTACTCGGAAAGAAGCTGACGAGTGACTGTTGCTGTTGAGGCACCTGGTCCGGCCTTTTATATCGTTAAAATGTTTGCCAAAATGTCCTTCAAGCACACACAAACAAACCGAGTCAAACAAAAAAGCAAACGCAAAACAAATTTGCAAACTTGTTTTGAGCAAATAATTATAAATAATTTTTTTTTTGCGGGTTCAACATTGAACTTGAACTGGGCATTAGACAAAAGGGGAGTCTTCGCTTTGCACAGATGAAGTTTCGCGCTTTTTAGGCCTGCCAGAGATGTGTTGCAAGCTGCGTGACACGACACGATGACCTTCGTGAAAAATTGTTTTTTTTTGTAAGCCCTATATATATTCATAATTAGCATAACATTATAATAATCAACGACGTTTTTTTTTAAACATAGATTAAACATCATTTTATTTTGCATTAAATTTTAAATCATATTTCCACCCACTTTCCGTTTTTGGAAGTGGAATTCTTCAACGATTTGGGTGCACACGTATTTATAACTTTTGATGTCGAAAATTTATCTTTCAAACCTTAGCTTCCACCCGCCTGGATTTGACGAAAGGCGTGAAACAGGTTACCAATTATTTTCACTGTATCATACAACTGTTTTCCACCAATTTTCCACACTTGCGGCTGGAATTTTACATTTTTTTAGCGGTAATTTCACACCTATCACAATAGTTAACAACTGTGAGTAATTCTGCTTTCAAGTTCGAACAGTTTGTGCCGTACATTGTTCATCAATCAGTCAGTAAGTCAGTCAGTCAATCAAGTTGTCCGATTCATACATAACCAGAAATGCTGTTTACATCACTATAACTGACTAATGTGCGCTTATCATCAATCAATCAATCCGTGAAATGCACACAAGGGAACAATGTGGGTAAGCTGTATAGAATCCGAATATGGAACGAATATGATTATAAGAAAATCAATTTAGTTGAGTGCGTGCTAATCGCGTGAACACGCACGAAACTAGTTTCGACTTGAGTCGTGCCGTGTCACGACATCAATCATGCGCGAGTCACAACACTAATTTTAACTACAATCAGTCAAACAGGGCACAAAGCGACAACCTTCAAGGAGGCTCAGATTGAAACATGGCCAAGACTTGGGCTATGGAACCGCCGAAGGTCGCGGCTAAGGCTTACAGATTGTGAAAATACGATGAAATGCACATTTATTTCACAGAAAGAAACGTCAGTGTGAGTGAAAGAGAGCGAGAGAACACAAGAGCGAGAGCGAGCGAGATCTGAAGAGCGTCATGTGATACAAGGCACACAGATATATAAAAGAGCAGCCGGATCCCTTTGGACTGATCAGTCGCTGACCGGCAGCTTTTAGATGCGGCAGCGATTGATTAAACAAGACCAACCTGCGATTGAGGTTAAGAATAAAGATGAGAGTCGAGTTTGTACGAGAGAATTTCGGGGTGTGCAGATTTTGGAGTTATGGAGGAGTATAAAACATAAACATTTGAAATTTAATTAAGCGTGAACGAGCCGATCGGCACGAAATTCTCATAGTCCGAATCGATATCCGGCAACAGTTCGAGTAACTCGGATTCACGATAAATTCGATAGGTTCTATTACCATTCTGTTGATTCTCCGAGTCCGTATCGCCGTTCGTCGTGTACTGTGACGACTTCTGTCGCTTGCCACTCTTCGCGGGCAGAAACTCGGTGCCGATGCTCAGGCGCGCGAGCGAGGGATTCGTATACTGAGCACGCCAGGTCAGATTACACTTTTCATAGAACTCCAGAGCGGAATCCTCCATGCTGTTCTCCGAGGCTTGCACCAATTTCAGCATCGAGTCCGGCGTCGGCAGACGCGAATATCGCCGTCCGGCTTGTGGCAAAAACGACATGTTTTGTGTACTAGTTCAACAATATCTCGATATACAAAATATATATACATATATATATATACAATATACGTCAGAGGAGCGTACAATTTAATTTTGGTTATGTATGTATGCATGTATTTTGATTATATTAGTACAGAGCCCCTTTCTATTATATACATGTATGTGTAAAACATGACACAGCCTAACGAATGACATTTGACTAATACGACTAGGGCACATAAACGGGCCTGGGCTGGAACAGCTCATGGCCAGCTGAATAGTTCGATTCATTTGGATGTGTATGAAATGTCCGATTCACATTCGTGGGCTCCACATAGCCCAAGGCACGACCCATGGGCGCGATGACAAACCGTGTGTGCGTCTGCGAGGAGCCCTGATAAGAGACCACCGAGGGAGCCGAGTCGATGAGCAGCTGCGCCTCCTGCCTGGGCCGGGCCAGCACCAGAGCCAGCAGTCCCAAAAGCAACTGCAAGGGTGGAGTTCGGCATAGGTACATAGCTTTTATTTTGGACACAAAACTCACCAAACGCCGCATTGTCGTAGGCAGAGTATTAGATGAGGTGGGCGGCTTAATTTTTTTTTGGATTTTCGTATTGCCAGCCTCAATAAACACGAAAACGTAGCGAGTGGCAAAGTCAAACTGAACGGCAGTGTGAATTGCTGTGCCATGAAATCACAGTAAAGCAATTGTTGGCCTAAACAGTGGCTTAGTGGCCCAAAGCGAAGGGGGCGCAATTGCGGGTGTCGAAATGTTAGCGACGCCTCTGGCTGTCGGTTATCTTGCAATTGTGGGAGTGTCTCAACTTGGACGTTTTACGTAAAGAAATAAAAACGAAAATGTATAAATAAATACGAGCGAATGCCGCAAATATTGTAGTAATAACAATAACAACAACAACTAGCAACAACAACTAGCAACAACTAGAAACAACAACAACAATGAATTGTGGTGCGAGTGGTGCTGGTGGTGCGAGTGGCTGCGACGGCAACGCATGCGCAACCCGCTGAAGGTTGGTCGCCCCCTTCGCAGCTTGAAGCTGAAATCTTTTTGCTTTTAAATACCCTATAAATAGACAGCGATAATAAGGGGTAGCTTCAAGCAGAAGAAGCGAGCAAAACGCTAGAATTATATTACGGAAAGATCAGGACGTAAGTCTGAGCGTCGGACTAACAAGCGAGCGGTCGCTGGTCCAAACCCTTCAAGAATTTTAAATTTTTTGATAGGTTTACATAAAAAATAGACCATAAGGATTAATTTGATAAAAAAAATATTGAATTGGAAATCGAAAATAATGGGACTTTAAAATCAAAATTTCAATTTCTATTTGCTTTGTCAATTCTGTAAGCAGAAGGGCTTGAGGCCCCAATATATATCTATCTATCAATATAAGAGATATATCTGTCGTCAAGCTACTAGCCTTAAAATATGTATATATAAAATTTTACTAACCCCTTTTGGAGCAGATCTCAGAAACTATAGAGTCAGAGGCATTAAATTTGGTATGTGAGTTATGAATTCAGATACTTTAATATAGTTTATTTAATTTATAACAAATTATATCTCTTATATGCACGACATACCCTGAATTTTGGTTAACAGATATCTTTAATGCACAAAAAACTGTATATTATTTCTAGTAAGGCCTGCCTAGCTTGTTACAGGGTATCTTGCAGTCAGGTGCCCAAAATAATCCCATTTACCTATTTTATGTGTGTTACTTAGCTTTTTACACAGTTTCTCTCTGTCTCTCTCCCAGGCAATATACCCCTCCTCTGCCGCCTCTATTATGCTCCCCCCTTAAAAATTAGCCGGAGGCGCGTAATTGAAGCTCTAAGTGCGTTGCGTTTGGATTGAAGCACTTTTTCGATACTTGATTAATTAATTAACCATATACAAGGGTTCGGCCATAAGACTAGGGTTACGAGCTGACAGCTGCCGGCTGCTGGCGACCTTAACTGCAGCTCAAGAGTCTGTCAATCCGATTAGCTATAAAAACGCTTAAAGCACAAGTCGGTTGGGTTTATTTGTTGCCCGGACAGCCACTCGACTATTCAGCATGCGCATCCGCACAGGGGATCAACAGTTGCTGCCGCACCTCCTGCTCCTCCTCCTCACTCTGACACTGGAGCCCAGCTGGACAGCCACAATTCTGCACAGCCTGGCCGGGCCGGGCAGCGCCAGCGCCATTTCGCATCAGAGCTTTGTGCGCTTGACGACGAAGCCGCCGTCGCTGCCATCGCCGCCGTCGCCGCCATCACAGATAATCCTGCAGCTGGCCCCGTCTACAGTGCGCATTGTCAATGCAAACGAGCGACGGCTGGCGGGGTTGGAGGCGCCGCAGCTGCAGCTAAGTGGCAGCCATACACCCGCACATCTGACATATGCCGCACGCCCGGTGGTGCACCAGATGCTGCCCAGGATTAAGCCGGTGCGCAACATAAGCTACGCCTCTTTGTTGCGCGCCTCTCGAGCCCTGGGTCAGGCACACACGCACACGCACACTCAGTTAAAGTTTGTTTAGCATTTTTTATTTCTCGCAGTTTAAGTTTTTTTTTAAAAATTAAGTAAACAATTTGAAAACCGTCTCGAAATTCAAGTGAGCTTTCAACTTCAACGACTCCGAACCGAACCGAACGCGAACAGAAGAAGAACCGTGGGTGGGCAAAGGAAGCGGCGCCGGTTGATGGGTGTGGACCCAACTATGTCCTCGCAGCAAATTCTCAAAAATCTATCCAATCACATCATTTTCCGGAGCCTGCACTACGCCTTCATTGCGCTGCAGCTGCGCGACGAGCTGGCCAAGAGCTCAGCTGGGGAACGCAGCTGCCTGGAGATGCGACCCTTTGTGCTCTGGCTAACCCATATACTGGTGTCCTATTCGGGCGATATACTGGTCAATCTGTTGCTTGGCACATTGCCACTGGAACCGCTCAGCAATTACCATGATGTGATGCTCTGCACGGTCGCCTGGTATATCATGTTCTATAGTCCGTTGGATGTGGCGCACGCTGTGGCCCGGACTGTGCCATTTCGCTGCCTTGTGGCACCTGTCGCCGCGCTCAGCCAGGTGCTGCACATCGAACGGGGCGTACATCTGGCGAGCAAGGTGTATGGCAAGAATTCTCTGGTGCCTGTTCTAATTATTGGCACGGTGATCGGAAGTGGCGCCGAGTTCCTGAAGCCCGTGGCCGCGCTGCTCATCAATCGATGCCAGATGAAACCCGCCGCCTATATAAAGTTGAGCACGTGAGTCTGCCGCATGTTGCAAGCTCCAAAACTGATGACACTATCAAAACAAACAAAACACAGCAACTCCAAGCTGGCGATGGCCATCTCCGGGCTCTACCTGCTCCAGCTAAATCGCAGCCAGCTGCTGTTTGGACTCTGCGGACGTCAGCTGCAGCTTTACGCGCTGCTCGGGCTCGTGAGCTTCAAGTTTCTGGCCCTGTTCTATCGTGTGGATCATCTAATTTGGCGGCTGGAGAATCGCCTGTGCTATGCCTTATTTGGTGGCCTCTATGCGGACTTGACCAAGTTTTTCAAACGACAACCAATACCTAAACGGGTGTCGTTTACTAAATTTGATTGAACCTGCATAGATATCTATATTGCATATGTATATATCTATATGGAGAGCGACAGGCATTCGAGTGGACCGAGCCGGGGCATGCCTCCATCCATCCATCCATCCGGCTACTAAGCGGCTTAAGTTACCCACGGTGCGCATTCAATCGGCAGATGTTTCGCTTCGTTAGCCCAGCCCCAGCGACAGCTCCGATTACATCGGATCCTAAGCGCTAATCGGCTTAGAGACAAGCAGGAATCCGCGAGCGTGGCCGCTGTGCAAAAACGGGTTTAATATGTAGTACTCCATGTGCGTGTATGTATGTGTGTGCGTATGTGTGTGTGCGTGTGTGTGTGTGCGTGTGTGTGTGTGCGTGTGTGTGTGCGCGTAGCTTGGTTGTATCAGTACTGCGGCGAGAATTGTTTCGAAATAAAAGAAATCCATTGCAAAAACTTAAATAAGCCCTGATTTATTGCCTTTACAGGGTATAATGAAAAGAATTCTTTTAATTTTTTTATATAGTATTTGATCAACAGATTTGAACGATTCTTCCTCTGGCAACTACAAGATATAGTGTTGCAATACAGCTGAATTCGATATATACATTTTCTATTATCAGAAGCAGCATACCATTTTTATGCCCTAAACCCATTTAAAAATGGGTAAAAGGGGTATAATGTATTTGTGCAAATGTATGTAACAGGCAGAAGGAAACGTCTCCGACCCCATAAAGTGTATATATTCTTGATCAGCATCAACAGCCGAGTCGATCTAGCCATATCCGTCTGTCTGTTCGTATGTATGAACGCAACGATCTCAGAAGCTATTAAAGCGAGAAACTTCATTTTTAATGTAGGTCCTCCTAGTGCCCGCGAAGTACGATTTTGATTCCGATAATCGATAGCAAGACCCGTTTCCAAGTAACTGATAAAAATCGATATCGAAATCCTGTTTTTTGAGCAAATCTCGTAAGTTATATGAGCTAGAGTCACCAAAGCTGACATTTAGCTTATAGAATAGCATAGTATTTTTTTTATTACTGTGCATTTGGTGTTGGTAGAAGAGAGTTCAGGGTATCCCCTAGTGGGGAGCTCCCGACTAGAGCCTCTTACTTGTTCAACATTAGAGTATGAAAGAGCGCTTAGTTCAGATAGAAGAAATAAAATATGGATAAGTCCTATGGATCCACAAATCAGTCTTTTTCTCATCAGAACATGAATTAACTGAGTAGCTTTAAATACACTATAGGTAAATAGTTCCCAAAATATATTTGTATCACGTCAGCACAAATTTTATTCAATTTAATTTCAGCCAGCTGAAAATCACATTCGATTCCAACAAAATGCCGGACAACCAACTAGACGACTGGGATGATACGTCCAAAAAAACCAAGAAAAAGCGGGTAATGTGCTGTCCCAAAGATCTGCCAAAGAAACCGAAACCAGAACCAAAGATCAAACCACCAAAGCCGGTTGTATGTGATCCCATAGAGAAACCGCCGAAGAAGCCAAAGGAAGCTGTGAAGCCCGCATGCGAGCGGCCGCCACATTATCGCTCCGGCAGCGAGCAACGCGCCTATCTGCAGCAGGAGGTGGTGCCCATATTGATGGAGGGCATGCTGGGGCTGGCACGCGACCAGCCGCGAGATCCGATCAGCTATCTCGAGAAGTTCTGGCTGAAGGAGCAGCAGAAGTGCGATATACCACTGCCGGACGATCTGCTTTAGATGAAGCTCCTCCAATCTGTGTATACAAATTTTAAAATGCATCAATAAATGTTCCCGGTTCAAGTTTGACGTCATCCGCGTTGCATTTATATTTTTCCCCTTTCGATTTAGTGAGGCGCAACGGCTATTATAAAAGCTGGGATTAGCTGCGGTTAGAGCATCAGTCATCATTTAGCTGCCTTCATTGAGATCATGTTCAAGCTGGTAAGTCGCGTGTTTCCTTTGACCGAAGTCAGCTCTTCCAATTGCTTTTACTGCTTCGCAGCGCCTGAGCCTGTTTGCCTTCGTGCTCATCTTTGTGGCCGCAGCCAGCGCCGGCTCCCTGGAATGGCCTGCCAATCTGGTGGCACTGAGCAGCAGCAAATCCTCGCAGGCATTGCCGCTGACCGCCAGCGAGGAGCCCCCTGAGCTGGCCGAGAGCAGCGCCGCCGCCGCCGCCGCCGAACCGGAGCTGGACCAGGCTCTATCCGAATCTTCCAGCGCCGATTCTCGCCTCGTCTCCGCCGTGCCCGTCTCCGTGCCACTGCCGCTTATTGTGGCCGCCCGCTCGGGCCTGCGCAGCGTGCTGACCATACAGGAGCCGACGCTGGCCAAGGTTGGTGAGCTGGTGGAGCATGTGCCCACCGCTGTGTCCCATCAGAGCCAGACGGTGGTGCATGAGCATCAACGTCTGGTCACGCCCATTGTGAGTCCCGCTGTGCGCACCACACAGCTTGTGCGCCAGCAGCAGCCGCTGGTTTGGACACTCGCCGCCGATCCTCGTGTGGTGCTCCTGCGGCACTAGTTCAGAGGACGAACAACAACAACGACAACAACAAGATGAAACCAAAGAGAAAAAACACATCGTTGCCAAATTACAACTGATTCTTCTTCTACTAGCTAACACAACTTCTATCTGTACTTGACATACTCTCGTCTGCCTTTGACACTCTGTAGCTGCCATTTTCTATGCTCTTTTCTGTCTTTACTCTTATATCTATTTACTTTTTGTTTGGAATAAAGAATTCGCAATTGCAATCATTTGAGCGTGTTCCTTTCGATACCTGCCCGACTCTCCACAGCAAATCAATAAAATCAACAGACGGCTTCATTGTTGTCCGAGCAAAACATTAATACACAAGAAGGGACTAAGAGACACCCTGGACTCAGTCAAACAACCGCCCGGTCGTCTGGACTCGCCCAGTGTCAATTGAAAACCAGAACCCATGCGAGCCAGCTATAAAAGCTGCACTTGCTCTGCAAAGGGCAAACGGACACAGAATCTCCACAGAATTAAGCGCGAGAAAATGCAGCTGCATTTGGTAAGTGAATCTGGCTAAAAGCCGAACTCTCAGCTCTTAATTGTGACCCTTTTCAGATTTGCCCATGCTTGTTGTTGGCACTTTTGAGCTTTAATCACGCCCAGCCCTCGCTGTTACCCATCAGAGCACCACCACCACCATCGTGCACCACACTGTGCCGCGTCGCACTTTGCTGCCGGCAGCAACTGTGCGCAGCTTTGTTGTTGGCCCACCGCTGAGCCCAGCGGCTGAGTATGTTAAAGCCCATGCATCTGGCCCATGGGCTTGGAGCTCCCTCTATCCCGCTTACACATTCTTTCTCTCACACACTCCCTTCAAGCTATATAGAAAGTGATTTTTACGATTGACATTTGAATAAACAGCAGTTGCTTTAAAATTCAAATGTTTTTCTGTGTTTTTGTACTCTGAACCCTTTGAATATGAGTGAAAGGGAATAATGTTTCTGTATATAAAAGACAAATAATACTTCTCCGACAACAAATATCATATATAAATTCTTGATCAGCGTCAATGGCTGATTCAATTGAACCCTTCGCTCTCCTAGCTCCCCACAGATGCATTTTTCGGAGCTGTGCTTAGTATATATCCTAGTTGGGCCCGCCCCAACTCCCGCACTTGTTTTTGTTTTTTTTTTTGCATGGTCAGGTTCATGCCTGGCTGACAGCTTTTGCTGCAGGCTAGAGGATTACAGCTTGTTAAAACACATTGGAAATGCCAATTTAATTTTGCGCTACATTTCACAGTTGATTGAGGTGTTCTGTGACGTCATCAGATCTATGAAACACCAAGCCCAGGAGCTGATGAACCTTTGCCTTCGCACGCAAATGTCTCTGGCTGCAACCGGGTCAGCAGCCGACAGAGAGTACCTTCACCCAGCAAGTGCGCGTGTGTGCGTGTGTGGGTGTGTGTTTTCCCTAATCGAGTGACAATAAGCAATATCTGTAGGCCGACACAGTTGTCAACAATTCGCCAGAAGCAGCAGCAGCATCAACAGCAACAGAAGCCATGCACGCCAGGTGCTTGCCCCGCCCATAGATTGGGGTCTGGAAGCGTCTAGAACAGAAAAATGAGAAGCGAGCAAAAGGCGCACAATAGCAAAAGATATTGATGACATTGAAAGCCTTGAATAGCCAAAAACAAAAACATTGAGTCAATGATCAGCTGGAGCCAAAGGTTAAGCTAGCCACAGGAGATTGGAATAGTTGACCAAAAGCTGACCGAAGCGCTGCTCATTTTGTGACAGGTTATGCAATAACAAGCCAAAGGTTAAAGTTTATCAAGTGCAACAATAAATTGCAAATGTACTGTAACAAAAAGTGCTCGACTAGCAGATGCTCTGTACAGCGCACATCGCATCCAACATCGCAAAAGGACAACATTTGTAATGTTTGCTTATAAGTGTGTGACACTTTAAAGAAGTTATCTTTAACCCAATCAATTATAATATAATCTTAATCAGACATTTGCCTGTTTCTACGCAAAGGTAGTTCTCAGCATAGCAGTATGTAATAAGTTTATGTTAGTTGTAAGAATACCCATGTTAACAATTGATATAATGGTAAGGCAAGAGAAGGAAGAGCTTGAAAGTGCGATCTCTCCAGACATAGATAAGCATATTGTGAAATTAACATCTAAGAAAGTTTTTGTGAAATTACAAAGCAATTAAAATATCTTAATACAGCCTACATCAGTTTGTTTTTTTTTTTTCAGACAGATCAAGACGTCATATAGCTGTCATAGGAACAATCTGTTAAGAACAAAGATTTAGTATGTAAAGCCTTTGTTTTTGCATTAATAAATACTAATGTATTTCAATTACAAGCTGTATTACCTTTTGATAAAAACAAATAATCATCGGCCTACTAAGACATATCGAATTTATAGCTGTCATAGAGTTCCTTTCCGGTTGATAGCAATCAAATAAAACTTTGATTATTACTTTTAGGATCGGAGATTCATGCGTTCATATATACAGACATGTGTTAGTTTTTTATAATAATTATTATTATAATAATATATACATGATATGAATACACTTTCTTTTTGTCTCTTACATACAATTGCACAATGTTTTTATTCCAATTTATAGTCCATTTTTAATGGAAAAGAAATAAAAGAGACGAGCTCACTCGGCCGAACCACACACATGCCATGTGTGGCAATGACAACTGATGCTCCCTTTTATTTTTTGGGTGCAGTTTTGTCGATGTGCTCTTTTGTTGCTGTAAAATGTTGATTACGTAAAATTCAATGCGTACGACGAGACAAAACTTTCCACCACAACAAAAAGGTCAGAGCATCACAGCAAGCCAAGCAGCAGCCGCAAAAGCAGCAACAGCAGCGGCTAAGACAATTATTGGTAATTATCGATTAACTGTTTTGTTATTGTCTGCACCACCCAACCACCACACAATTTGTCTAGTATCTATGGCTGTCAGTTGCAGTTTACAGATGCAATTGGCCGGACATGATGCAATGCCTGAGAGCGCCCGCAAAAGTATGCAAAAGTTGCATAGCTGGCTGCCGCCGCCGGCCGCTAGATGGCGTGCACTTTTAAAGCCGGCGCCCAAAAGGCTGCAACACAAATGCTTTAAGCTGAAACCGAGTTCATTGCATTTGCTACGTATACGACGTAGCTGCCGACTGCTGCGCTGATTACACACACACAATTATCACAACGGGCGATTGGGTGGTTGGGTGGCTGGGCGATTGTCAGCTCACCGCTGCGTAATCGGTTTGTTTGTTTATCAATAGAGGCGGCATTTGAATGCGTCGTTATGCTGTCATCGCAGAGCGGTCGGGCCTGGGCCTGGGCCTGGGCCAGAGCTAGGGTTGCCAGCGGCATTGGTCATGGCCATGGCCATGGGCGGTCCCTTTTGGCCGTATACAAAGCACAGCAGCAGTAGTTGGAGGGACGGCGCACAAAAGAAGCAGAAGCTAACAAGTTAACCAGAGCAGAAAAATAGGTTGAGACGCAGAACTTTCTGGCTAAGCAAAATATTTGCCAGGCCAATCAGAGCCCCAGCACTTAGGATAAGTGACCAAAAAGTTTACAAGCTGCGACCAGAACTGGGCAATTTGGCAAAAGAAGCGAAACAACAAGGAGCTGGAGAGATTTAATCGAGGGTGTTCACTAGAAGATTCCCTGTACCCAAACTCGAGCGGTCGTAACATAATGAATTCGCGGTAACAAATTTGATGCCCTAGCTCTTATAAATCCCGATATATGCTAAAAAAAAAACATGGCCCAGAAATTGATAATTATAGAAAATTCGAAATAAATTAATCTTCGTATAATATGCTAACCAAATTGCAGTGCATAAACATCCCAAAATATGCCAGAAAAACTTGAAATGGATATTTTTCGATTGTGGGGGTAATTAACACTATTTGGAAAACAACAATTGCTGGGCAAGAGGTAAGCACTTGTAATGGGTGCAGGGTATAAAAAGGTAGGCAAGAAATCAACTTGAATAATTTATGTAATCTCAGCGAGCTAAGCAAACAACGCACAACATTTCAGCTGCCACAAATGATTAACAGCTGCGAACTTGCAGCAGGGCTTTCACCGTGTCGGGGGCCCATAGGTGTATTTTGCTTGGCGCCGGAAGCAGCATTTGTGGCGCAACTTCACGTCAACTTTGGCGGCCTGCAACTTGTTGCTATTGTTTCCTTGTCACATTAGCTGAGCATTAAGCCGAAGACCCCGTGCCGGTGAAAGGTCAATACAATTACAATTATTTAACTATGCGGGTGTTACAATTCAAC